GGCGGGGGGGGGGGTAAGGTTAAGGCATTACCTGTTAAGTTTCCAGAATTGACTAGAAAAGCATAATTGGTTATTATTGTTACGGAACACATTGTAAGTATCCAGCGAAAGAACAGAACAGGCTCCAAGGAAGTGGAAATGCTGAACTTGAAAGATTTTCACCTCAGTGATGACGCTGACCCGCTGATATGACCACATTCATCTGTCATAAGGGATTGGGAAAACGTATTGCATATATGTTACACGGCTGACAGCTTTTGGGTCAGATTAGTTTCTTATCCAGTAAGGCTCACATGGTATCGGTTCTGCGAGTTTGGGGGAATCAGGACATATCTAACGCACTCGCTTAGGTTAAGGGTATATTTGGTAAGGGTCTAACAGCTTCTTCATGTCGCTGCTACATTCCTGGCTGTAGCCTCATCATATGTAAGGCATTATGAGAAGTAATGGATAAATGCGTGATCGACTGTTGAAGTTTCTATTTCATTTCATATGTCGCGATTAGGGTGATTGTAAAATATGAAAGGGGTTTCTGCCATCCATCTGTCGAAAATTTCTTGATATCATTTTGTCATAGGAACTTTCATAAAGTGCAAGAATAAGCCTGCAATTTCAGATATCGACGACTGTCTGAATGTGACTTGTGGCGGTAACGGGTCTTGCATCGATGGTGTTGATTCTTTCAAGTGTGTTTGTGAAGCAGGACGTACGGGGAAATACTGTGAAATAGGTAATGTAAAAATTTATGTATGACGCTATAAATCTCTTCTATTTGTCCACTTCACGAATTTGCAATAAGTTATTCGAATGGAAATATAATAAAAACTCGACGTCACTTATAAGATTTTAAATGTATGAATTAGCATACCTTTCTAATACCTGCTATGATGTCGTGTTGAACTTTCACTCAAGTACCACACCATAATTTAGTCAGCTTCTTAGAAAGGTAACAACCAAAGGATTAGATGATTTGGATTAGATATGACCATTTGCATTCGTTGCATTTCCTTAATCCTGAAAGAAAGGGTTTCATTTTTTTCTAGATTTCTGAAACCGATGAAAACTTTGCTGCTCATTTCTGCCTGTCATATAGAGTGAATATACATCTATATGGGTAGTCCTCAGTTCGTAGAGGTTTATGCCTTCTGTAGAAGCAACGTCACCCCATCATTCTTGAATGGTCATTAAGAATTCTTTGAACATTTGGTTTCACAGTCAGGAACTGAGCTGCACCATGTCATCGGGCCGTTGTCATCTAAGATCGGCAGTAATGCAATTAACGTAGACTATGAAATGTAGGATCGCAGGCAGACTCGCTACTCGTCAGTCAAAAGTGCACATGAGACTGCTATTTCGCGGAATATGCGTCACCATTTATCACCGAGAAATCTTTTTATACTCTCGCCTTATAATACATTCTTTCTAAGCCGTTATTCCACGTAGTAGCTATTGCATCATTAAAAAGGTTTCTTGTATAAACTGAAACAATGAAAGAAAAATTCAGAAGCTACAGAGACTAAGCGATCCCATAGCAGGATTAGCAGAACGGAGAAGATCAATGGGATAAACTCTTTACCACCATTGCTGGTATATGGTACAGTGTAAGTGATTTAGCGTGTATTTTTCTTTCGTGCAATTTTATTCTGTATTTTACATTTTATTCAAATTGGTCTCTAAATTTCATGATTTATTTACACTTAACCAAATCTCGAAAGCTTTCCTCCTTTAGCGCCGTATAGCGAATCAAGGGGCGGGAAGGATAACTCATACACTTATTTTAGCACGGACGACTTGCAGTGTTCAAATGTAAATCACTTTGAATCTGACCAACTTCAGATTTGCCTCTGTGAGTCAAATCAGCATTGAAGCACATATATGGAGGTGGCAGTTGTTGGCATTTTGTGTAAATTTATTTTCTTTTGAGAGCGATTGGCAGCAGTGCCATACTGTCTATTTCTGCACTCCAGATGTTGATCCACAAGGTGTTATTTCGTCGTCACGTATATTCGTTATTCATCTAAGACTAATTGCATTTGATGATCCATAAAACTCTACCGTGGTCATTCCTGCTGCATCGTTTTCAAGTAGCAGATTAACCCAATGCCTCGTTCCTTCGATAACTCTGCTGAACCAGAAGATTGAATACACCTTGTACACTAAGTACTCCATTACTACCAACGGCAAAAGCTGGTAC